CCATGTCCTTAAAGAATGTTGGACTCTAGATCAGGATTGCATTGAATGTGTAGATTGATTTGGGTACTATTGACATTTTCACAATATTCAGTCTTCCTATCCATGAACATGGTATGTCCTTCCATTTATGTAGATCTCTTTTAGTTTCTTGTAGCAGTGTTTTATAGGTCTTTTGTGTCCTTGATAAGATTTATTCCTAAGTATTTTATCTTTTTGGTAGTTATTGTAAATGGTATTGTTTTCCTTTTCAGAGGTCTCTGTTTATGTAGAGGAATCCAGCTGGTTGTTTTATGTTGGCCTTGTATCCTGCCACTTTGCTGAACCTTTCTATTATTTCCAGTAATTTTTTTTTGGGGGGGGAGTTGCTGAGTCTCTTGAGTTTTCTAGGTATAGGATCATATCATCTTCAAATAGGGATAGTTTTGCTTCTTTCTTACCAATTTGGATGCTTTTGTTTTCCTTTTCTTGCCTTATTGCCCTGGCTAGAATTTCCAATACAATGTTGGATAGAAGTGGAGGTAGAAAGGATCCTTGTCTGACTTCCATTTGCAAGGGGAATGTTTTGAATCTTTCTCCATTGACAATAATGTTGGCTATTGGTTTTGCAAATATGCCTTTTATTATGTTGAGGATTTTTCCTCCTATTCCTATTTTGCTGAGAGTTTTGAAGGGAATAGGTATTGAATTTTTTTTAAATGCCTTTTCTGCATCAGTTGATATGATCATATGGTTCTTTTATTTTATTTATTTGATAGGCTGCATTGATTGGTGTTTTTTTGGGGATGTTAAACCATCCTCCCATATTTCATATGAATCCCACTTGGTCATGGTGTATTTTTTTTTTTGATATATTGTTGGATTCTGTTGTCTAGGATTTTCTTGAAGATTTTTGCATCTATATTCATGAGAGATATTGATCTGTAGTTTTCCTTTTTAAGGGTGTCTTTACCTGGTTTTGGTATCAGTGTTATGCTTACTTCATAGAATGAATTTGGGATTGTTCCATCATTTTCTATATTCTGGAATAGTTTGAGTAGTATAGGTGTCAACTCTTCCCTGAATGTTTGATAAAGTTCTCCAGTGAAGTCGTTGGGCCAGGACTTTCTTCTTCTTCTTCTTCTTCTTCTTCAGTTTTTTATGACCTGTTCAAGTCTTCTTTTGTTATGGGACTGTTCAAATTTCTATCTTAGGCTGAGTTAGTTAGGTAAGTCTTTGTTTCTACAAATTTGTCCATTTCTTCTAGGTTCTCTAATCTGTTGGAGTGTAGATCTTCATAATATTCTGTTATTATCTTTTTTTATTTCAGTTGGTTCTGTTGTGATGTTGCCCTTTTCATTTATTATTTGTGTCATTTGCACCTTCTATTTCTTTTCCTTTGTTAAATTTGCCATTAGTTTGTCAATTTTGTTAATCTTTTAAAAGAACAGGCTTCTTGTCTTATTGATTTTCTCTATTTTATTTTATTGTTTTGTTTGTTTTCTTCTTAATTTATTTCTTCTCTGATCTTTATTATTTCCTTGCTTCTGAATACTGTATGTTTCTTTTGTTGCTCTTTTTCTAATTGTTGGAGTTGTTGAATTAAAATATTGATTCTGATTCTTTTTTCTGATTTAATGTGTCCATTTATTACTATAAATTGACCTCTGAGTACTGCTTTCACTGTGCCCCAAAGGTTTTGGTAAGTTGTATTTGCAATCTCATTTGTTTCTAGGAATTTTTTTTTATTATTATTCCACACTTTATTTCTTCTGTTACCCAGTAGTTTTTGAGCAGTGTATTATTCAGTTTCCACATATTTGATTTTTTTATCTTCCTATTATTGATTTCTAATTTTATAGCATTGTGATCTGAGAAGATGCTTTCTAGTATTTCAGTGTTTTTAAATTTATTGAAGCTTGTTTTGTGGCCTAACATATGGTCTATTCTGGAGAATGATCCATGTGCACTGGGGAAGAATGTGCATTGTGCTTTGTTTGGGTGGAGTGCTCTGTATATGTCTATGAGATCAAGTTGGTTGATTGTGTCATTGAGTTCTTCTGTATCTCTGTTGAGTTTTTTTCTAGTTGTTCTGTCATTCCTTGAAAGCAGTGTGTTAAAGTCTCCTACTAGTATTGTAAAATTGTCTATTTTTCCTTTCAATTCAGTTAACATATGCTTTATATATTTTGGAGCTCTTTCACTGGGTGCATAGATATTTATAATGGTAATGTCATCTTAGTCAATTGACCCTTTTAACATCAAGGGGTGGAAAAAAATATACCCCACTCAAGGCAACCAAAAAAAAGCCGGAGTGGCAATATTAATTTTTGATAAAATAGACTTCAAGGTGGAAGCAAGCATAAGGGACAAAATTAATGTTGCCACCCCTGCTCTTTTTTGGTTGCTTAGAGCATGGTATATTTTTTTTCACCCCTTGATGTTTAATTTATTTATATCTTTGTATCTAAGGTGGATCTCTTGTAAGCAGCATATTGATGAATCTTCTTTTCTTATCCAATCTGCCACTATCTTTCTCTTGACTGGTGCATTTAGTCCATTCACACTGAGTGTAATTAGTGGTAGATATGAATTTATTGCTGTCATTATATTTTTTGTTGTTGTATTGTTGGTGATTTCTTTCTTCCAAATATTTTTCTGTGCTGAGTTTATTTTGTTATCAAAGATTTTTTTTTTCTCTCTCTCTCTTTTCTTCATTATCATTGGTTTTGTGCTTACTAAGCCCTTGTGACTTTCTTCTTTCTTAATTTGGTTAGAAGGATTATTAATTTTCTTTGTGGTTACCCTGAAGTAAATTCTTATCTCTTTAAGTTTGGAACAGTCTGTTCTATAAAGACATGGTCCTGTCTTCCTCTCCATTTGGAAGTTTTGTAATTAAAACTTTTATTCCCTCTTTTTGCTTTGTTGCTGCTGTTGTCTGCAGATTGAATCCCCTTTTTCTCTATGTATATTTTTTTGTGAGCTTACCTTGAGAATCTTTTTCTGGTTTGGTTTCTAGGTGATAGTATCAAGTCTCTTGATTTTAATTTGTTGTTCTCTGTTTGGAGTTCTCTATTGGAAGGACTCCCTTTAGCATTTCTTGTAGGGTTGGTATGGTTTTCACAAATTCCTTTAATTTCTGTTTGTCTGGAAATGTCTTGATTTCACCTTCATATTTGAAGGACAATTTGGCTGGATATATAATTCTTGGTTGACAATTCTTTTCCTTCAAGGTTTTGTATATGCCATTCCATTGTCTTCTTGCCTGCATGGTTTCTGCAGAGAAATCAGAGCTTAGTCTTATTAGTTGTCTATTGTAGGTGACATTTCATTTTTTGAGCTGCTCCCAAGATTCTTTGTCTTTGATTTTGGAAAGTTTGATTATGATATGTCTTGGTTACTTTCTCTTGGGATCTATCTGTATGGGATTCGTTGAGCTTCTTGTATGGATATCTTTTCTTCTTTCATGATATGGGCAAAATTTTCTGTTAGCAAATCTTCAACAATTTTCTCAGTGTTTTTTTTTTTGTGTGTGTGTATGTGTGTTTTGTTTTTGTTTTTGCCTCCTCTTGTTCTGGGATTCCAATCAGACGTATGCTATTTCTTTTCATGTCATCCCATATAACTCTTAAGTATTTTTTCATTTCTCTTAAGTCTTTGTTCTGATTTTTCCTCATACAAGCTGACATCATGGGATTTGTCTTCTAGCTGGGAAATGCTTTTTCAGCTAGTTCTAGACTACTCTTTTATCCTTCCACTGTGTTGTCTATCTCTGTAATTTTAGTGTTCATCTTCTGGATTTCTAATTGCTGTTTTCATATGAGTTTTAATTATTTATCTTGTTATTTTGTTCTTGAATGATTTTTCTGAATTCTTCTAGGTTATTGTCTGTCTTCTCATTGCTGCTGTTTATGGTTTCCTTGATCTCTTGGAGGGTCCTATCTATATGTCTTCTGAATTCCTTATCAGATAGTTCTATTGCTTGTTTTTCCTCAGGGAGATTTCCTAATTCTTTAGCTTGGGTACTTGTTTCTACTATCTTGTCCTGTTTGTTTGTTTGATTTGAAGTTGTCTGTTGTTTCCTAGATATTTTGAAGTTCTTCTCTTTATTTGTTAGTTTTCTACTGATTTATTTCACCCTAGTTTCATGTTTTACTATGTCTGGAAGTGTGGAGTAGGTGTTCTTTGGCTGTTAACATGGCTGTACCAGGTCACTCTCCAGCTTTCTCTATGTTGGTGGAAGCACTGCTGGTGATGTGGGTGCAGGTCTCTGTTCATTGTGAAGAGGATTTGCAGTTGGAATGAGGAGGTGTGGTCTACCATCTGTTGTTGATTCTGTGGTCCAAGAACTACTGGCATAACTAGTCTGTTGGGTGAGGTGGTCAGTGTAGTAGCTATGGCTGACTTGTAGAGAGTTAATATGTTCCTCCCATTGGACAAGGCAGGGAAAAAGATAAACAATTTTTTAAAAGGCCAAGGAGAAGAAGAAGAGATGAAGAGGGACCTGGCACACGGTCTGTTATAGGATGCCATCTTCCTACTTGCTTCTTTGATTTTTACAATGTCAAGAAATATTGTCAGGCAGGGTCCTTCCACTAATACTCTGGTTTTACATATGCTGTGTGTGTATATGTGTCTGTTAGCAATATTATTTTTTCTCAGTCAGGCTATATCCTTACTGAACTTTTAAGATGTCTTGGATGCCCTTTTCAAGGTGCAACGTGTCTTGTTTTATTCTCAGGGAATGCTTGTGTATTCCATATAAAGTTAGCCAGGGTACAGAGTCCCTTAAAAACATTAAAAACAATAATGACACTAAAAACTGTGATTTCCAAGTACTGATCATACTTAATCAGGGAACCAGCATACAATGTGTATATGTACAGTGAGGCCAAAGAAAAGAAAAGCTAATTCTGTCACCTTTGGACTGTGGGGCAGCACAAAGAGAAATAAATAGATAGCAAAAAAAGACCTAGAAATGAATGATAAATATCTCCTCTGTATCTTTTTGTCTTGCAGATCCATTTTGAACCCAATGTGGATGATGCTATCAGGACTGAACCACTGATGAGAGTCTGAAAAATTTTCATCTTCTCATTGGCCATCAGCTGAGATAAGATGGAAGACTCTTACAAGGATAGGACTTCCCTGATGAAAGGTGCCAAGGACATTGCCAAAGAGGTGAAGAAACAAACAGTAAAAAAGGTGAACCAAGCAGTGGACCGGGCCCAGGATGAATACACTCAGAGATCCTACAATCGGTTTAAAGATGAAGAAGATGATGATGACTACTACCCACCTGGAGAAACCTATGATGGGAAGGCCAATGATGATGAAGGCTCAAGTGAAGCTACAGAAGGTCATGATGAAGATGATGAAATCTATGAAGGGGAGTATCAGGGCATCCCCAGCATGAACCAAGGGAAAGACAGCATTGTGTCAGTGGGGCAGCCCAAGAGTGATGAGTTCAAGGACCGTCGAGAGCTGGAGTCAGAAAGGAGAGCCGATGAGGAAGAGCTAGCCCAGCAGTATGAGCTGATAATCCAAGAGTGTGGTCATGGCCGTTTTCAGTGGGCCCTTTTCTTCGTCCTGGGTATGGCCCTTATGGCTGATGGTGTGGAAGTGTTTGTTGTGGGCTTCGTGTTGCCCAGTGCTGAGACTGACTTGTGTATACCAAACTCAGGATCCGGATGGCTAGGTGAGTACATCATGTCACAGAGATAAATTCTGAAACTCATTTATTTTCAAGCACAATTATCAATACAGAGAATAAATATTTTTCATCTAGATCACTGCATTTTTTCCAACACTTTATTATGAAAAATTTCAAACATACAAAAGAATTGTACAATGAACCCTGTGTACATTCACCACCTAGAGCCTATAGTTAACATTTACTATATTTTCTTTATTACCTAGCTGTGTATACATGAAGATTCCTGGGTGACATAACCTAAGATTTGTGCTTGACTACTAAACTAAAAGGAGCTCTGGTGGCGTAGTGCCATTGCAACCCACATTGAGTTTCCAAGGATGTAAGTCCTTATGGAAGCGACAGCCTCAACTTTTTTCTGTGGAGCAGCTGGTGGGTTTGAACCACTGACCTTCTGGTTAACAGACAAAGGCCTTAACCACTACACCACCAGAACTCTGTAATTAAGATTAAATATCATTTTAACTTTCTGTAGTTAAAATGTGTTTCTGTAGGATAACACAAAAAAGGTAAATCTTTTCTCAATCATGATTTTCTCTAAATCATGAATGAGAAAAGATTTACCTTTTTTTCCCCCCCTCTCTTTAACACTTGTTTCCTTTATATGTCCCACCCCTGGTATGTGTTTCTTTAGTTGCTTAACTGGAAGAAATAGATCGATGAAGGCAAATTGTGAAGGAGGGTTGGGTGGGCATACTGTGCATGTTTTTTTGCTGGTAGAATGATGTATGTTTACAACAATCAAAATACAGAATAAGCTTCAGAAGGGGTCCTAATCATTCACCAAATGGATCACTTCAGTGTATCTGTGTTGTGCTTGGTACTGTATTTCTTTTTGTTTCTTTGGTGAGCAAGTATACCCATTGTGAGCCTGGGCATCAAATGTTTATCAAGGATTCATTAAAGGAATATATCAGCAGAATATTTTAAGAGCATAGATTCTTAGAAATGCATCCACACAAATATATAATAATGTTGTTGTTGTTGTTGTTGTTATGTGCCGTCGAGGGCCGCCCCGACTCATAGCGACCCCTCCTTGGGTTTCCGAGGCAGTATCACTACGGAAGTAGGATTGCCCAACCTTCCTTCCGAGGAGTGGCTGGTGGGTTTGAACCGCCAGCCTTCTGGTTAGCAGGCAAGTGCCTTAGCCACTATGCTACCAGAGCTCCTATATAATAATAGCAGGCATATATTTAGAATGAAATTCTTCTCATATTATGACTCTAGTTTTTGTATTGGAAATACTGGAGAAAATCTAAGTTAAGCATACCCTTATGGATTTATCCTCCTGGTCCTAAATGGAAGCACAGTACCACATTTGGTTCTCTTATCAGTCTATCCTATAAACCTATAAACCCTGATGGTGTTTCACACCCCCAAGTGACATTCAGAAATGTAGATAATGCTGCAGAACAATTGGAGCACAGATATTTCATCCATCCATAAATGTTGCCTGCTTTAGTGAATTAAAAATGTGTCCCCAGGAGCACAGAGTTTCACTCATTGTTGTGAATACCCGACAGAAGCATTTTAATGGTTTCATAACTGTACCTTCCAGACTTGCATTTCAATTATTTTTCCATTGTAATTTCACTCATAATTGTATTCTAACAGAGGCTTTTTAGACAAGCATTTAAATTGTTTTGCCATTTTCATTTCATCGAATAATAGCTTTGTAATATAATTACCACACTAAGTCATAGCAGTGGCATCAAAATGCAAGAAAGAAAGATGCATGACCTATGTTTGGTGGCATTTTGAGGACATAGATTTGCAAAATAATTTCTCATGTTCTACTAAGCACTGTGTTATTTTCCTCAAGGAAGACCAGGAACAAAAATGTGAACCTATTTATGTTTTAATTATTTAGGAAATAGATCATTTCTCTGTGGTTACTAGAAGACTGATTTAAAAGTAGCTCAGGACATACTGTGTTTGTGCAGGTCTGTGTGTATGGTCTGTGTGTATATACAATGTTGTTAACTGGGCTGGGAAGAAGCTGGAGTAAATATTTAATTATTCAATGAGCTACTCTTTGGGGGACTAAGTACAATCACTTTAAGATAAACCACTCTCTATTGCCAAAGTCCATTTATTGAGCATTTATTATGTGCAAAGCACAGTGTTACACAGGGGATCAAAGGACAAAAAACGACAAGGTTTCTGCATCCAGGAAGTTATGATCTAGTATGGAAAAATCAGAATTGTCTGCAGATTATAAGTACAAGGCATTACGTATCCACTGTCATATGTTGTTGTGTCCCGTGAGTTGATTTTCAACTCATAGTGACCCCACGTGACACAGTAGAACTGCCCATAGGGTTTTCTTCTCTGTAAATTTTACGGATGGAAGCAGATTGCCAAGTCTTTCTCTTGCGGAGCTCCTGGGTGGGTTAGACTGCCAATCTTTCAGTTAGTAGCTGAATGCTTAATCATTGTGCCACCAGGGCTTCATTGCCATAAGAGAAGTTTATATCAAGAGACTGCAGGCTTGGAGACCACATAAGGGGTAAGGACTTGACCAAAACATTGGAGAGAAGGGAATAGATTTGAGGGCTTTTCCAGAGGTGCAATCAACAGTGATTTAGTCACTGATTAGTTTGGAAAGAGGTTAGTATTGTTGTTAGGTGCTTTTGAGTCAGCTCTGACTCATAGTGACCCTACGTACAACAGAATGAAACACTGCCTGGTCCTGTGTCATCCTCACAGTTGTCACTATGCTTGAGCACATTGTTGCAGCCACTGTGTCAGTCCATCTAATTGAGGGTCTTCCTCTTTTTTTGCTGATCTTGTACTTTACCAAGCATGATACCATCCAGGGGCTGGTCCCTCCTGATAACATGATCAAAGCATGAGAGACAAGGTCCTTGTTTCTAAAGAGCATTCAGGCTGTACTTCTTCAAAGATGGATTTGCTCACTCTTCTGACAATCCATGGTGTATTCTGTATTCTTCTCCAGCACCATAATTCAAATGTATCCATTCTTTTTCAGTCTCCTATTCATTGTCCAGGTTTCACATGCATGTGCAGTGATTGAAAATACCGTTGTTTGGGTCAGGTGCACCTTAGTCTTCAAAGTGACATCTCTGCACTTTAATACTGTAAAGAGCTCTTTTGCAGCAGATTTGCCCAGTGCAATATGTCATTTGATTTCTTGACTGCTGCTTCCTTGGGCTTTGATTGTGTTGTTGTTGTTAGGTGCCATCGAGTCATTTTTGACTCATAGTGACCCTATGCACAGCAGAACGAAGCACCGTCTGATCCCGTGCCAGCTCCATGATCCTTGCTATACTTGAGCCCATCATCGCAGCCACCATTTCAACCCATCTCGTTGAAGACCTTCTCCTCTTTCATCGACCCTCTACCTTACCAAGCATGACATCCTTCTCCAGGAAATGGTCCCTTTTGACCAAAGTGTTGTGTGTTGTTGTTGTTTTGCCATCGAGTCGGCCCCGACTCATAGTGACCCCTCCTTGGGTTTCCGAGGCAGTTATCACTATGGAAGTAGGATTGCCCAACCTTCCTTCCGAGGAGTGGCTGGTGGGTTTGAACCGCCAGCCTTCTGGTGAGCAGTCAAGTGCCTTAGGCACTATGCTACCAGAGGTCCTTTTGACCAAGGTAGGTGAGATGAAGTCTGGCCATTCTCACTTCCAAGGAGCATTTTCAGGTGCACTTCCTCCAGGACAGATGTATTAGCTCTTTTAGCAATCCATGGTACTTTCAGTATTCTTCACCAGCACTACAATTCAAAAGCATCAACTCTTCTTCAGTCTTCCTTATTCATCGTCCAGCTCTCAAATGCATATGAGGCGACTGAAAATGTCATGGCTTCTGTTAGGCACATCTTAGTCCTCAAGGAAACATCTTTGATCCTTAGCACTTGAAAGAGTTCTTTTGCAGCCTACTTGCCCAGTGCTATACATCGTCTAATGTCCTGACTGCTGCTTCCATTGGCATCGATTGTAGAACCAAGCATTGTGAATTCTTTGACAACCTCAAGCTTTTCTCCATTTATAGTGATGCCATTTATTGGTTCAGTTGTGAGGATTTTTGTTTTCTTTATATTGAGATGTAATCCATATTGCAGACTGTATTCTTCAACTTTCATCAGTAAGTGCCTCAAGTCATCCTCACTTTCAGAAAGCAAATTTGTGTCATCAGCATATGGCAGGTTGTTAATGATTCTTCCTCCAGTCCTGATGCCATGTTTTTCTTCATATGGTCCAACTTCTTGGATTATTTGCTCTGCATAAAGATTGAATAAGTATGGGGAAAGGATACAACCCTGATGGACTCCCTTCTTGATTTTAAACCACGCAGTGTCCCCTTGTTCTGTTCAAACAATGGCCTTCTGGTCAATGTACAGGCTCCTCATGAGTACAATTAAGTGTTCAGGAATTCCTATTCTTTTCAATGTTATCCACAATTTGTCATGATCCACACAATCAAATGCCTTTGCATAGTCCATAAAACACAAGTAAACATCTTTCTGGTATTCTTTGCCTTGATCCAAGATCCATCTGACAACAGCTATGATATCCCTTGTTCCACATCCTCTTCCGAATCCATCTTGCACTTCTGGAAATTCTCTGTCAATATACTGCTGCAACCGTTTTTGAATTATCTTCAGTAAGATCTTACTTTCGTGTGATATTAATGATTTTGTTTGATAATTTCCGCATTCTGTGGGATCACCTTTCTTTGGAATGGGTACAAATATGGATCTCTTCCAGTTAGTTGATCAGGTAGTTGTCTTCCAAATCTCCTTCCATAACCGAGTGAGTGCCTCCAGTGGGGCATTTGTTTGTTGAAATATCTCAGTGGGTATTCCTTCAATTCCTGGAGCTTTGTTCTTCACCAATTCCTTCATTGCAGCTTTGATTTCCTCCTTCAATACCATTGGTTCTAGATCATATGCCACCAAAATGGATGACAGAAGAGACTCTGAAACTTGCCCTTGAGTGGAGAGTAGCTAAAGCAAATGG